TTCTGTGGGTTGAGGCGCAAGTTTCCCTTGATCAGTTTTGCCTCAAGCCGTGTCGTTACACCGTTTAAATGACTGATTATGTCTGCTGCTGCTGTGTTGGGGAGGAAAGTGTGTGTTTTCGTAATGTCGTCCATGAAGGTATTGAGGGAGAGGTCATGTACTTGGTTGTTTACTGGGTTGATTGTGTCGTGCAGTGTTTGGGTAATGTCTTCTCGTTCTTGCTGGTGCCACTGGTCGACGTAAATGTTGTGGCAGTCGTTGAACTGGCCAGGGGCAAGTGTGAAGCCCATTTGTGCTCCATCACTGGTAGCTACGTGTACTTGCCCGTCTGCTGTGTTCATGGTGAGACAGGCGTGATTAATTGCTGCCATTGCGAATGGTTTGTCCTCGTCACATGTGTGCTTCCAAGCCACCGCCTGGAGAAGACGCCTGTTGGTGCTCGCAAAGGCATTTGTGCAGTCGTAGTTCGAATGTATTGTGCTGTAGCCTGCTTGAGTGGCCCTCCATTGTGATGCCTGCACACGCAGGATGGAGTTCTCTCTGCACCGGTGGGCAATCCCTCCCTGAGCCCAGGCAGGATGTTGCGCTCTCTCCCCCCGTCCTGGTATACCTGAGTGCCAACTCATCCCAAAGCTGCAGTACGCATGCATTATACGCTTCCCTGCAATCCCTGATTTGCTGTTGTGTTTGTCTGCGTCGAATGCCATGCTGCGATGCCAGTCGAGCGGTGTCGCTCGTGTCGTACGGCACAGGCACAATAGGTCGGCCAGTCGTTGCTGAAATACGTACTTCACACTGCTGTCTCTCATGATCGTGGCGCTGCCTAAACCTGCTCTCTCTGCACGTCCCACATAGCATGGTGCTGTCGTGAGATGGTCAAGCTCTTGCCCCGTCAGTAGCTGCCCCGAAGTCCCCAACTGCATACCCTCCAACCAACCCATTTTCTGCATCAGCTGTCGTCCCTTCTTATATTTGAACAGCGTAGTGTGCTTGGCTAGCTCCTCCTCATCCTTCTCCTTCTCTGATTTCGCTATCGCTCGCTTCTCCAGCCTCTTACTTGCTTCATCTGGGTCCTCTAGATGGGCCTGGGGATCAAGCAACATCCAAGTGCATTCGATCGGAAGGCCCCAGGCTGGCCAGGCGCGTCTCTTCTTCGCCCTGCGGCAATACCTTCGCATAGCACGCTTGTCTTTCTCTACGGCGTGGAGGATGGTGTGGTCGAGGGGGGCTGGGAGATCGCCCTCTGCCTGATGCTGCTCATGCTGGGCTCTCTCCTCCTGCGCATCCATCTGCGTCCCTCCCAAACCTCCCTCGTGCGGGTGCTTGCCGAGCTCGTGTATCCACTGCTCTGCTGTCCAATATGTTTTTGGAGAATAATAAAACCGTTTTTTTGGGCCCCTCCCATTCATGTTGTATGCTATGCTCAGTCTGTGCATCTCGGCAAAGTTGGAAGCCTCATACACCTCCCAGATCTGTTGTACAATCTGCGCACGTCGCTTCACAAGGCTGTCCTCTCGCATTCGTTTCAGCAGTGCCGTCGCAGTGGCCAGGTCTTCCAGGAGTCCGTCGTACTGCTCTTGTGTAATGTCGGGTCGCATGTTTGCACGTATTTCACGTCTTTGTTCAAGTAGCTCCATGCGCTTACATCTGACCATTTTTCCGTCATCATCTAACTGCTGGTCTGCTTTGCCGAAAGACTTGCGAAGGGCTTGCCTGGTTGCATTGCCGAAGGGTTGCCAGGCTGCGTCGGGTGTACTACTCTGCGTTGCCTGCTCCCACTCGTCCTCCCCCATCCCTCTCATCTCATCGTCCAGATGCTCGAGGAACTGAAGCCTGCCCCTCCCCCTCCGCAGACACTCCATGAGCAGGTCGGCGTTCACGCCTTTGTCGTCGCGTCTCCTGCCTGGGAAGAGGTTGGCGCCTAGTCGGAGGGGGAGGTCGATTGAGACGGGTAGGTGATCTCTGTGCCATCTGCTCTTGTGTAACTGCAGTCGCTTGCCTATGGCTCGTAGTGTGGCACATTTACTGGATATAGTGCGGGCACCTGTCGGCAGTAGTATGTGGTCGATCCTAGTCTCCTGTCCCTGGAACCCATAATAAGTGGGCCCTATGCTAGTGAAGGTGGTCGCTATGCTCATGCTATTCCGCTCACAGAACCTGCGCACTTCCTTACCGTTTTCATTTTCCAACCTCGGGTCGCAGGGTCCTACGTGTCGGCCTTCACTTGATTGTACTATACGGTCAGGTGCTCTGTGCAGTCCAAAGTCACTGTTGAGATCCCCCCCTACAATTGGTGTAGTACGGGCACCCAATTTGTCTATCTCATTCTCCGTCCAACTCATAAGTCTGTTGGCAATAGTTGCGTATTATTTGTAGTGCGTCGGTGCCAGATAGAGAGCAAACACTGCAATGTCTACCTCGGATGTCTGCAGTCGTATGCCCGCTGCTCGTCCCTGTATCTGTGCTGGCGGACTGCTTGTACTGCGCAGACTCTCGGGCGGGAACCTTTTCGAGACAAGAATTGACACTCCACAAGCTTTGGCAACCCATTTTCCTTTTTTCGCTCCAAACCTGAGTGCCCAGTGTTGTGGTAGTTCGGTTTTCTTCACGCTCTCTGGTCCCGCCCACTCGTACGTCCCGCTGAGAATAATAATGTCCCAGTCTCTCAGAGCAACACTTATGTCCTCTAGTCGCTCGCTGCCGCTAGCTGAGTATGGGTTGTACGTCACAATGCGCATAGTCGTCGCCGCTGCTGTCGTCGTCACTGGGGGCGAGAAGACTCTACCATGGCGCGGGCGGCGGCCCCCCCTCAACACCCTCTGGCCTCGGTGCTGTTGGGGGCCCTCGAAAGTCGGCGGGCGCTCTGTGCGTGTGGGCTCGGTCGGAAATAAATTCTTAAGCCCCTCGCGCCGACTAGGAGGAGGAGGAGGAGGAGGAGGAGGGGGAGGAGGAGGGAGAGGAGAAGGCGAAGGAGAAGGAGGAGGAGGAGGATGAGGGAGAGGAGGAGGAAGGGGAGGGGGGAGGAGGGGGGAGGAGGCAGGCAGGCGGCCTGACCTCGGCCACGGCCGTGGCCTGCGCCGCCCCCCGGACGACGGGCGGGCGAACCGTGCTGTCGGGCGGCGGCCACCGGCCCCGGGCAGCAGGCGATCTCGAGGCGAGCCGCGAGCGCGAGAGGGGCCCAGAACTTGTGGCTGGGCTAGGATGTGCAAGGAGCGCAGTGCGTCCCCATACAGGGGGATTTTGGACGAAACATTAAGAATACGAAAAAACAATGCCCCCAAATGGTCCAGCAAACATCGAAAAATCGTCCCCAGACTGTTTTTCTGACTATTTGTGCAGATTCCCCCTGTAGAGGGACAGGCCCGACTTAACACTAGGAGGCCACATGCGAACCCTACTCCCACCCTCCCCCTCAGAAATCGTAGGGGGTAGGGGTAGGGCTCGCGTGTGGCCTCCTGGTGAAGACGGAGACGGAAGCAGCAGGGGGAACCACAAGAGAGAGACAGCAACCATGGGAGCAAAGGGGGGCATGGAGACGCAGACGAGAGGATGCCACAGGCAGCAAGATGGAATGCACAAGAGCCGATACCGATACCCCCAAAAGAACACGAGACCACTACTTGCCCCCCAAGCGCGCGGCAGGGAGCGGCGGCGGGGGCGCCGCCGGGCAGCGGGGGGGGGGGATCCTCGCGCCGACTCGGAAGGTCCGCGCGGAGCTCCGAAAGTGCGTGCCTGCGCCGTGCTTCGCCATCCCTTCGGGAACGGCGAGAAGGACTGGCTTCAGGTCGGTGTTGGAAGAGCAAAAAGATTCACACATACATCAAAACGGTCAAACATGGTATAGAAATCGTCCCCAGACTGTTCGTTACTATGCTTGGAGGCTCCTCCTGGGGAGGGACATGCCCGACTCGAGACTGGCTCAAGAAAGGGTGACTTCGACGGCTGCTTGGGCGCCTCAGGTCGAGCTGGGGGGCCTCAGTTCGGGCGGGGGGGGGGGCTCAGCTCCAGCGAAACCAGCCTTGGCCAGCGAACCCTTCTGGATGGGCAGCACTTTCCACCACCGCTGCCCTATGTAGGACGGGGGAGAAGGGAGGATGAAAGCTCCCTCTCCTCCTCCTCCTCCGCCTCCTCCTCCTCCCTCCTCCTCCTCCTCCTCCTCATCCTCCCTCCTCCTCCTCCTCCTCCTCCTCCTCCTCCTCCTGCTCCTCCTCCTCCTCCTCCTCCTCCTCCACCTCCTCCTCCCTCTCCTGCCTATGGTAGTGGTGGTGGAGAATGGGCCCATCACTTCTGGCAGCCTCCGATCCCTCTCGCACTGAGGACGAGATCAGTCAGCACAGGATCGGCACATCGGATCGCCTTGAGACGTGCATCGGATCGGGCTGCAGCGGCGCGGATTCGGAACCAGATCGGACCGACTGAGGGACCTTTGGAACCTCGGGATCGAATCGGATCGGGCCAGGCAGAATCGAATCGGATTCGGATCGATCGGATCTCGGGGTCGGCCAAGAGGGGGGCGTCCAAGAGGGGTGGGTGGGTGGGGCGCAGATCATGGCCAGCGGCATGTGCGCGGCCATGGGGGGGGGGCAGGGGCGCCATGAAATGAGAGGGGGCGCCATGAAATCGGAGGGAAATCTCAGGGCCCACGCCATGATCTGTCCCACCCTTCGCCTAGTGATCCCCCCCCCCCCCCTCTTGGCCGCCCCCGAGGATCGACATGGAGCAGGTCAGCTCTCCACGAGCTGGACTCGGATTCGGATTCGATGGTCTGCCCCCCTGTTCTCTCCCTCGTCCGTCTTCCCTCCTCCCTGCTCAGTGACGACGACGTCGTCGTCGTCGTCATCGTCATTGTCATTGCCGTCGTCGTCATTGCCGCCGTCGTCGTCGTCGTCGTCGTCGTCGTCGTCGTCGTCGTCGTCGTCGTCGTCGTCGTCGTCGTCGTCGTCGTCGTCGTCGTCGTCGTCGTCGTCGTCTCCCCTCGCGGGGCACGCCGGGCCCCCGGCCCAGCGCGGTGGTGGCCTTCACGCGGAGCAGCTCCCTGGGCGGCAGGTCCGGGTTGGGCTCGGGCGCCAGCCAGGTGGCCTCGAGGCGCGGGGCCGAGGAGGCCCCCGCGGCGGCGGCCGGAGGCGTCACCCCCGCGCGGCCGAGGAGGACGTTCGTCTCGTCGATCTCCTCGGGGGCGGTCACACTCTGGAGTCCCGATAACGGTGCGGCGACGGACCGTGCGGTGCCCTCGAAATCCCCCCCAGGACCTCACGGCACGGTCCGTCGCCGCACCGTTTTGGGGCCCTGGAGGCCCACGTCGCCAGAGACGTCCTCGGAGAGGGTACCGAGTCCCAAAACCGTGCGGTGACCCCGGATCCCCGCCGACTCACCACACGGTGTGGTCACCACTCCGTTTGGGGGCCCAGGAGTCACAGAGGCCTCCTGGATGGGGTCCGGGGAGACGGGGTCGGAGGATCTCGCCACATCGGCGATGCACTGGCGACGTCGGCGGTGCATCGGCGACGTCGGCGTGGAGAAAATCGGGCACCACATCGAGACGCATCGCCGATGCATCGCCGATGCATCGCCGATGCGGCGCGATCCTCCGACCCCATCCACTCCGACCCCAACTAGGAGCCCCGTCAAAACTAACCTCAAAATGCCTGACGTGGTTGAACTGCTTGTCAGAAGATCTGGGGCCGAGAATCGATGAGTGCGGGGTACTTGCATGCGCCGCCCCTCCAATGTCGGTCGACGTCAAACTTTCGAGTCAACTTCGGTCAGACTGTCTTTGCCCTCGCCCCGACATTGAAGGGGCGGCGTGTCGACATTGAGGGGCGCGCCGAAATCGAAATGACGTGCCAGCAACTGTTGAGGTTAATTTGGACGAGGGTAGTAGGAGCCCCGTCCAGGGGGCCCGCGTTGAAAGAACCATACGTCGGCCGCATGTCTGGGAACCTGGCCGCGGCCCAAGAGGGCCTGAAGGCAGGTGCGCGTCGCGTCGACCCCAGCGTTGTTGGTCCCCGACTCCGCGGGAGCCGCTCGAGCGCATGCGATCGGCCGTTTCCGGAACGCCAGATCGTTCCGCCTCGACAGCTTCTCCTGGGCCGCCCGCGGCGTTCACCCCTTGAGCGCCAGCGGCAGCGTCGGCGCCGGCCGGCCCGACGCGAACCCGCCGTGTGGCGCTGCCTTGCAGTCGGTTCCCGCCCGCCCCCGGCCTCGCACAGCAAGACGAGCTCGTCGGCAGCGCCCTCGACCTTGCTCGGTACTAGCCTCTGCAGCAGCAGCTCGGCCGCCGCAGCCACGGGGCCCAGCGACTTGGACTCGGCTGCGGCGCGCCGAACACGGCCGAGGGCCGCCTCGTGCTGCGAGGCAACGCGCTGCCAGCGGATGAGCTCGTTGGCGTCGTCGGCATCAGGGTTGTCCTCGTGCCGCCAGACCAGCGCCCCTAAGCAATCCGAAGCGGGAGGCGTCACATCCCGAAGCGGTTCCGAAGAGCGAGGAGCAAGACTACTGGACTGCCTGCTGTTGTCCCCGTCGCCCCTGCATGAGGTCCAAACACATCCACGCGTCACGCTGCAGCGAGCCACACCCCTCCCCTCCCCTGGATGATGCAGACGAGAACAAAGAGCAGGGGGAGGGGGCGTTGGATGGGGGATGCGGAAGAGGAGAGGGCGAGGGGGGGGACGATGGTGATGAGCATAACATGATGACCAAGCTGAGCACGCAAGACGGGAGAAGAGCAGGAGGCGGCGCGTGCAGGAGAAAGAGGGCAGGAAGGAACTGAAGAGGAACACGAGGAGGGGCAGCTTTTCCGCGGGATGGATGGGGAACGAAGCAGGATGAGGAGGGGCGGGCCATGGAGGATCTTGAAGGGGCCCTGAGACACACACAAATAAACACCCACACACACAAATAAAAAGATCCCCCGTAGTTTCCCATCTTTTCAAGGTTTCTGCCTCCCCCTCACTGCCCATATTTTCCCATGTTGCTGGGGAATCGACGATAAATTGTGTCTGTGTGTTTCTTCTCCTCCTGAGATCTGGAAGAACAGCGGGAAGAGCATCGGGAGCACGTGGGTCCATGCACCGAGACCCGCATCGAGAACGAGCACGGCCGGTGGAGGCGGAGCAGAAGCAGAGCACATCGGGAACGAGCACGGCCGATGGCGAGGAGGATCGGGAGGAGGAGGAGCGGAATGTAGACCGAGGAGGACCAGGGAGCAGGAGCCACGAGGAGGGCGACGAGCAGGAGCTCAGCCGTGGCGGAAGCAGAATGACCATGAGGCGCAGAAGGCAGGGGAGAGGAGCAGCAGGATGATAAGGATGATGGACAAGAGCAAGATCAGGGAAACGAAGAATGACATAAACATAAAAACTCTGAGGTCCGCGCGGATTTCTCGGATTGGCGCTGGACCCCCATGGCGGCGCCTCCGGCGCCGCCCCTGGCGCGCTCCGCGCGCCAGGGAGGGGGGTCCAGCGCCGATCCAAGAAATCCGCGCGGACATCCGAATGCCTATGTTTATGTCTTTCTTCGTTCCCCTGAGGATGCAATCAACCCGTAAAATACAATCAGACCTGGGCCATAAGAACATCCCTCAAGAACACGAGACCCTCCGCCGGCCAAACCCCCCCAAAAAAAGCGTCCGAGGGTACCCTCCCCCATATGCGCAAGAACATCCAACAGGCACGAAGAACACTAGAGTAACTCACCCTCCACGAACCGACCTCGACCGGGGGACGGACCCAGACAGGAAAACGATGAGGAAGTGGACGAGGAAAGGCGTGAAGAGAGAGTGGCACGAGGGCGACGAGGGGGGGGGCGGGGACGAGGACTTGCGTGATGCATGCTTGGCGACGATCTGCGGGCGAGGAGGAAGACCAGAAGAGAAGATGAGGAACGGAGCGTGGAAGGAACGCGGACAGGTGGACCAGAAGAGGGCCGAGGACGAGGGAGGCAGGAGATGAGGAAGACGGCAAACGGATGATGACGTAAGGTAAGACGGCGGATATTGATTGAAGAACATTGCCCAAGGGAGCGCTACACTTGGGCGATACGCAATATCCGAGCATGTCAAGCCGCGCGTGCATCCGGACCCCAAAGAAGACGCCTGTGCCGCCCAATGCTCCAGGTCAAACTTGGGACGGCGGAGGTGGCGCCTCTATGTACCAAACCAACGCCATGTGGTTCGTTCCGCGTTTTGCTCATTACCTCGGTTTCGCAGGTCGAAACCATGCTGTGCCGAGCCAAGACGCATCTGCTGCGCCGGGCAGCTTGATTGCCGCCCCGTGCAAATTTGCGAGAGACCCAATGGGTGACTTGGAATGTCGACAGCGGGGCCGCGTCGCGTGGCATGCGCCGCCATGGCTGCGATCTGGCATGTAGAAGTTGTCACTGCACCGACCGTGCAGACGTGCTGCAGCGGATTTTTACGTGGATTTCTGTCAATGCTAAACCCCGCAACGGCGAGTGACCTTCGAAGTGAATCTCGCGTGTTTCTTTTAGTCTTCATTCCTGGCCAAAAAAAGTCCGCACGAAATTCACCTCGAAATCTGGAACGACGTTCTCCAGGACACTCCGGGCCCATCCTGTCGCGTCCCGAACAAAATCCGCTCTGCGATGTTAGCGCCATGAAAATTGGTCTCGCGACTTGCCGTGCCATGCCGCGTGGCGCCGTCTTGCGCCGCGCCATGCCGCGAAGTGCACGCCGCCCCCTGCGGCGGCCGCGCGTCGCGGGTACCGCGCCTGCCCCATCCGTTTAGAGGTCAGGCGCCATCGCAAGTCTTCGGGGTAGAGCATACGTTACTTTGCGGTGTCAGCACAGGGGCGTGCCAACGCTAGTCGCAGCGCGATGCCCACTACTTACCTCATGAGCGCAGAATGGCCGCATCCACATTTTCTCGGGCGTGTCGCCGCAGCGACGGGAGGACCAAAGAGCAGAGCACACGCCAGTGACAACACGGCAAATTTAAGGCATCGCGCGCTGCAGCTCGTTTCAGACGAGCTGCAGCGCGCGATGCCTTCTAGACCGCGCTCCGGAGCTCAACGCTGCATATGTTCCGAACTCGACGCAAACACAACAGCTATGCAAAACTGCAACACAGCAGATTTTGACAATACGACGCTGAGTATGAAACAACGAGCCGAGGACAACTAGCGCACATTATCATGAGCGGGGTTTTGTACCCATAACGGTTCAAGCCACTAGGTACAGCACATGGACGTTCAAAACTAATGTTTATATGACACGGTTTGCAACCACTCATTTAAAAGCGTCTAATCTAATGTAATCAAGATCAGTCGGAGCTATGCTGGATTACAGCTGGTTGTATGACAACTACGTGCGCGTATAATGCGCCGAGACCGTCGGCGTGTGTGAGACGTTTTTCTGCTTGAGCGGTCGTCGCCGTCATCGTCACCGCTCCCCCCCCCTGCCCTCTTCCTTTAGCGCGCCAGCCAGAGGGAAATCGAGCAAAGTCATAATCGAGTCGAAAGGAGGCCCCTTTTCGTTGATCCTTTCCCCGCGGAGAGGTGGGTCTTGGGGGAGTTTGCCAGGGGGGAGGGTCCCAGGGGAATCCGACCACACCACGGGAAACGGACCGATCCCAACCTCAAGGGCTTCTCTTATTAATCTACAAGGATAACACTGGAATGCAACCAGCGCGCGCCTCCGGGAAGCTTTTGGTGAGAAGTCTATGAGACAAGAGCCTCTGACAAGCCCCTGAGAAACGTGTACCAAGAAGCCGCTGAGAAGACGCCTCTGAGATGAAGCCTCCGAAAGCCTCAGAGAAGAAGCCCCTTAGAAGCATCTGAAGAACCTCTGGGAAGCCTCGTGAAAGCCTCTGAGCAGCCTCTGGGAATCCACGGAGAAGACGCCTCTAAAAAGAAGCCTAGCCTCTGTGAAGTCTCTGAGAAACCTCTGGGAATCCACGGGGAAGACGCCTCTGAGAAGAAGGCTCTGAGAAGAAGCCTCTGAGAAGAAGCCTCTGAAAAAAAGCCTCTGAGAAACCTCTGGGGAGCCTCCTTGGAGCCTCGTTGAAGCCCCTGAGAAGCCGCAGAAGCCTGGACTTGTGATTACGCGGTTCGCCATCCTCCGCTCCTTGTCATCCTCCTCTTCTTCCTCATCCGCTGCCCCCTTTTCCCGTGGCCCTGTGGACTCGAATCTCGGAGTCTCGGAATATCTGAAGATATTCTGAACAGCTTCTGAAGAGCTGCTGAAGAGCCCCAAACAATTGCAATGCATAATCTGAGGGTTCCCGTAGAATCCCAAGGGATCCGGAATAATCCCGTGGACCCTGAGGAAGCCCGAGGGATCATGGGAATTCGTAAGAGCCTTGGGGCTCTTGAAACCTTGAACTGCGCTGCAATGCGATACATGTGGTTTGCAAAGGTAGAGCAGCGGTCGACGGAGCGAACCGTCTGTAATCGGCACGATCGCAACTGCTTCCTAGAAGCTCCAGGGGGAGACTTCAGAGAACCCAGCGACGCCAAGAGCGCACCTGAGAGCCTTCTCGCATACGGAAAAACAAGACTACGAACCCCCCCCACAGACACACACACACACACACTCAAACAACACCATCACAACAACTTCGGCCCCATCGCAACTGGCTGCGATCTGCCCCACTGACCCGCGGCGGCGGCGGGGCGCAGCGCGGAGACGCCGCACTGCGCGGGGAGTCGACCACGAGACACCCTCCACGAGAAACCCAACCCCGAGACCCCAGGACCTCCGTTGGGTTTTGGTGTGGGAGCGTCACGCTCTCCATGGCAAGACCATCGAAGGCCTGCGAAACCAAGGCCGCACTGGAGACCAGCAGGGCGTGTCTTGTTGGCACGGGCCTCCACTGCACCCCCGCGTTGTTCGAGACAGCCTCCAACAGGCCCGCAAGAGGCCTCCTGGGGTCCACTCCAAGGAGGGCTCCCTGGGGCCACGGAGCCTCCAGAGGAGCCCCCCCCTATGGGAGGCGGAAGTCACTCATAACCCAACTGCTGCCCTATACTTGATGTCCGTTCCATGGGAGTCTGCGTGGCTTCCTGTACTGTCCAATTTGGGCCTGAATTGGACCGGATTTGGAACAAATTTGGACCTGATTTGGACCAGACTTGGACTGGATTCGTGGGGGCTAAGAGAACGAGGATGGGGGAGGGGGAACAGGAGGGGATAGGAAGAGCAGGAGGATGGGCCAAATGCGGTCCCCACGCTGTCCACTTGCAGGAAAAGCTGATTTCAATGTCGCCGCCCAAGGTTCCCATGAACAGACATCAAACCTATATGTTTGCAAGTGTCACACCTTTTCTGCCTTTCGATGAAACTGATCGGATCGGCGGGAATCGGCAGCCGAGTTGGAGGAAGCCGAATCGGCGGACATCGGCAAGCTGGTACGCCTCCAGTAAGGAATCGGAGTCCAAATCGGAATCCGAAGTCGAATCGGATCGGAATCGGAAGCCATCGAACTCGAATCGAATCGAATCGGAGGAATCGAAACGAGCCCTGCAAGATGGCTCCAAATGGCCCAAGACGGTCCCCAGAGGCTGGCCCCAAGAGCGCCTGAGAGCGACTCAATCGCGCGCCAAGGCGCAAAAAGGCTCATGTTCGCGCCCCGACGGGGGAACCCGTCTTCCGTGTTCGATGGCCTCCAGGATGGCATCAAAGGCCCCCGCGGGCCTCCAAGAGCGCCCCAAGAGAGGCCCAGGAGAGCCGCAAGCGAGGCCCAAGAGGACATATAAGAGGACTCCAACATGGCCCTGAAGGGCCCCACGATGGCCTCAAGAAGGCACGAGGAACTTCAAACATGGACCCAGGAGGATGCTACGACGTCCCCAAGAGGCCTGCCCCTTTCACTCTCATCCTTTCCGCGCTTCCCTTTTCCATCTTCTCCCCCGTCCATCCTCCTCAATCCTCCTCATCCTCCTCCTCCTCCTCCTCCTCCCCCTCCTCCTCCTCCTCCTCCTCCTGCTCCTCTCCCCTCCTCCTCCTCCTCCTCCTCTTCCTCCTCCTCCTCCTCCTCCTCCTCCTCCTCCTCCTCCTCCTCCTCCTCCTCCTCCCCCGTCCTCCTCCTCCTCCTCCTCCTCCTCCTCCTCCTCCCCTCCTCCTCCTCCTCCGTCCATCCTCCTCCTCCTCCTCCTCCTCTCCTCCTCCTCCTCCTCCTCCTCTCCTCCTCCTCCTCCTCCCTCCCCCGTCCTCCTCCTCCTCCTCCTCCTCCTCCTCCTCCTTCTCCTGCTTTACGTCCCACTGTCATTGTCTCCTGCTTCCCGTTGTGCACGGGTTCGGGGGCACCGGCCGTGGGACACTCGCTATCTGGGGCCCGGGGACACACAAATACATACACAAATGACAGGAATCTCAATATTTTCATATACTTTCTGGGTTTTTGTTTCCCCCTCACTTCCCATATTTTCTGGGGAACCGACGATTAATTGTGTCTGTGTTTTTCCCTTCAATCTACGATGTGCAAGTATTTCGCGGGAGCTCGTGGCTGGGCGTGCCACAAGAAATCTGCAAACCACCGATCGCGCCGCAGGCACCTCGTGGAGTTTCACGAGGTCCATTCAAGGCCTCTGATCTGAATGCGGTGGGGGGCATTGGACAAGGAGCCCTTAGATGAGGAATCCAGGGTCTGGAAGCCTGTGGACATCCGACAGTGGACCGGCCATGGATATGGCCACCGACCTCATCAGATAAGGGATCCGCCAGGGTCTGCAGCCTCCTGGGCACCATCCTTAGCGACCGCCCCCACCGTATTGTGCTGGCTCTTGGAGGGCCCACACAAACCCGTGCCCTGGGCGCTCTCGGGCGCCTGCTTGCTCTCGATCGCGGGGCCTGGCTAGGGCCCTCGGGAGCGCTGTCTGCAATCCTCGCTTCCGGTAGGGCCCGTACTGGCCCCAGGCCGTCCCGGAGCCCTCTTTTTAGGGGGGGGCCTCGGCCGTCTTGGAGGCCAATGGGCCCCCCGGGGCCTGCCCTCAGAGGCCCCGCCAGGGGATTGGAACCGGCGGCGCATGCCCGCCGGTATACGATCCCAAGAGCGTCCCCGAGCGGCCCAGGAGGCCCCTGGAGAGATCGCCGCAGGACGGCCCCCGACGGCCCCAAGGCGGCCCAAGAGAGGCCCCCAAGGCGGGCCCAAGAGGGGGGCCACGAGCTGAACCTCCGAGCCCTTGCCTCCAAGATGGCCCCCGAGACCGCCCGCAGACCCCGAAGAGGCCCCGAGCCCCCCCCCGGGGCCCCCCGGGAGGCCCCCCGAGGAGGCACCCAAGAGGCCCCCTATAGAGGCATCCGAAGAGCCCCCATAGGAGGCTTCCCAGAGGCCCTCTCCGCCCCGGCACGGGAGCGGGGTGGGCCGAGGGCCCCCAGCTCCACCGCCCGCTGTGGCCTACCACAGGCGCGCACGGCGTGCCACATTTCGGGTAGTTCTTGGATGTCTCGCTGACTTCCCCAGGGCATCCAGCCCAACCCGCTGCCCACCCGGAAATACGCATTCACTTCCGTCTCATGTGGTCTGTCGCCCCCATGAGGGCGCGTAGGTTCCCCAGGTCGTCGGTGCTCCTGCTCCAGACGGCCCCAAGATGGCCTCCGAGACGGCAAGTGTGGTTTTCAAGACGGCTACGAGGGCCCAGACAGGGCCCAATATGCCTCCAAGATGTCTTTTAGACGGGCCGAGATGCCCCCAGGACGGCCCCCAAATGACCCCGACATCGCCCAAGAGGCCTCCAAGACTGCCCAAGAGGCATCCAAGAGGACCTCCGGGAAGGCCAGAAGAGGCCCAAAACATGTATGATCTGAGCGTTTCCGAAAGATTCTGGAGTTGCTCATGTTTTGATTTTCCGACGGCACAAGACGGCCCCAGATGCCACCAAGATGGCCCCAAGGGCGCCCGATAGGCACACGAGATGGCCCCCAAAACGACCCGAGAGGCCCGACACACGGCCCCTGATAGGGCGCCAAGACGGCCCAGGAGGCCTCCAAGGCGCCCGAGATGGTCTCCAAGACGGCCCTGAAGCGCCCCGAGAGGGCCACCAAGATAGCTCCAAAAGCGCCCAATAAGCATCCGAGATGGCCCCCCAACGGCTCAAGAAGCCCGCAAGACGGCCCCAGGAGGGCCCCAAGATGGCCCAGGAGACCTTCAAGACGCTCAAGATGGTCTCCAAGACGGCCCTGAAGCGCCCCGGAAGGCCCCAAGTCGGCCCAGAGAGGCCCCCAAGATAGCTCGCGCCGGCGTCAGACGAGCAAGGAGCGCCCCCAGACGGCCAAAAGAACCTCCCAAGGAGCATCCAGAGGCCCCCAGGAGGCCCAAGGAAGCCCCAAGAGGCCTCCAAGAGGCCCCCATAAAGCTCCCAGAAAGCCCCACGAGTGCCCCAAGAGGCTCCCATGAGGCATCCACCTCATCCTCCTCACCCTTTGTCCTCCATCTCCTCCTCTTCTTCAACTCTCCATTCGGGCGTCTTCGGCCACCTAGGCCACCTAGGTTCTTCTAAAAGGCAGGGGGCGGCGGTGATGGGCCGTAGGCGTATTCGATATAGGCTACCAGAGATCGAAGAGGAAGGACCAAACGTGCGAATGACAAAGAGAAGGAGAAACAGGAGGGGAAGAAGCGGGAGGACCTGCCCACTGGCGCGCCTCGGGAATCCGGCTGTTGCGTTAATGAGCCTGCCATGGAACACAAACAGATGCCCTGAACGTCCAAACCCTTGCTCCAGTGCTGAACCTAACCGGTGTTTTTCGTTTTCGTTTTGTTTTTGTTGTCCCTCGCTTTTGTCTAGAATCCGACTTCACCGCAAAACGAATTCGAAACGAAAACGGCCCACGAAATCACCAAAAACACCGTTTAGGTCCAGCCCTGCCTTGCTCATCCTCCCTGTGGAGATTTGGGACCCACCCTTCCAACCCGAGACGAAAGAGGCTGGAGAATGCGCCCGTGTGGCCCCAGGGGGGCAGCGACCCTGCGCAGGGCCGGGCACTGGCGCTGGGGAGCGGGCATCTGCCGACACGCCGATGCGACGCGGCAGGAGAGGGGGAGGAGGAGGAGGAGGAGGAGGAGGAGGAAGAGGGGGAGGAGGAGGAGGAGGAGGAGGAGGAGGAAGAGGAGGAGAGGAGGAGGAGGAGGAGGAGAGGAGGAGGAGGGGGAGGCGGAGGAGGAGGGGAGGAGGGGGAGGAGGAGGAGGGAGGAGGGGAGGAGGAGGAGGAGGAGGAGGAGGAGGAAGCAGATCCCGCCCGACACGGCCGATGCCCCGTGGCCCGTACCGCTGTCGGCTGGTTCCGCCGATGCCTCCCCGCCCGCCCTGGACCCACGAGGGCGGCCGCTGCTGAGCCGCGAGCCCTCTTCCTCGGCAACCTTGGCGCGTCCCTCCCTCCCCCCGCCTGATCCTCATCCTCCGTCTCGGGGACGACGAAGACGAAGCCGACGACCACGACGACGCCCGCGACGAAGAGGACCTCGACGACCACGACCACGACCACGACCACGACCACGACCACGACCACCACCACCACCACCACCACCACCACCACCACCACCACCACCACCACCACCACCACCACCACCACCACCACCACCACCCCTACCATCACCACCGCCACCACCACCACCATCACCACCACAACGACGACGGCCAAGACGATCACGACTAGGACGATCACGACCGCGACGATCACGACCACGACGATGGCGACATCGCCGTCCGCGCCCGAAGACGTCCACGGCCAGACCCTGATCCTGCTCGGGCACGTCCGATCGGCCGCCTCCAGTGCGGATCCAGATCCGTGGCCGCGTCGGCCAGGTCGGCGGCTTCGTCGGGCCCTCGCCGACGGAGCAAATGCGGGGGAGGAGGAGGAGGAGGAGGAGGAGGAGGAGGAGGAGGAGGAGGAGGAGGAGGAGGAGGAGGAGGACGAGGAGGGGGACGAGGAGGGGGAGGAGGAGGAGGAGGAGGAGGAGGAGGAGGAGGAGGAGGAGGAGGAGGAGGAGGAGGAGGGGCGAGGATGGGCGGCGTCAACAGGACGAGGAGCAGAACGGGCAGGGGAGCAGGAGTGGGAGCGGGCCGACGCGCATCGGCCGTCGGGGCGGGCAGATCTCGGCGGCCTGGTCGAGCCGTCGTCTGCGGGAGGGCCCGGGGCTCCGAGGAAGCTGCGGGTGGCACCCCTGGCCTGGAGGCTCCCCCCAGGGCCGTGGTGCGGGCACGATTGGGCTCCCAGCTTGCTGGAGGAGGACGGAGAAGCGGATGATGATGAAGCTGAAGCTGAAGCTGAAGATGATGATGATGATGATGATGATGATGATGATGATGATGATGATGATGATGATGATGATGATGATGATGATGATGATGATGATGATGATGATGATGATGATGATGATGATGATGCTGATGATGATGATGATGATGATGATGATGATGATGATGATGATGCTGATGATGATGCGATGCTGATGATGATGAGATGATGATGAGATGATGATGCTGATGGAAAGGGTGATGGTGGTGATGATGGTGATGATGACGATGATGATACTGGTGATGATGATGATGCTGATGATGATGAGGATGAGGATGAGGAGGGAGAGAGGAGGAGGAGAGGAGGAGCGTAGGAGGAGGAGGGGAGGAGGAGGGAAGGTAGGAGGAGGAGGAGGAGAAGGAGGAGGAGGAGGTGGAGGAAAGGGAGGAGGAGGGGGGGAGGAGGAGGAGGAGGAGGAGGAGGCGGAGGAGGAGGAGAAGGAGGAGGAGGAGGTGGGGAGGAGGAGGAAGGAGGAGGAGGAGGAGGAGGAGGAGGAGGAGGAGGAGAGAGGAAGGAGGAGGAGGAGGGGAGGAAGAGGGAGGAGGAGGAGGAGGAGGAGGAGGAGGAGGAGGAGGAGGAGGAGGAGGAGGAGGAGGAGGAGGGAGGAGGAGGGGGCGGCGGAGGAGGAGGGGGAGGAGAGCTAGTGCTGGCGGCAGCAGCAGCGGGGCCCCCTGGGCCGGCGACAAGCAGGTACCGATACTCCGGGTCGCCCTCGGAGTACAGCCGATACTCTGCCCCGCCGCCAGACGGCCCGGGCTCGGGGCCCCGTGGCCCGGAGAAACCGAGGACGGCGAGCAGAGGGGAGGAATGGTAAGATGAGCAACTTAAGAAAGGCCCCTAACCCTGTGGGAAGGGGGCCTAAGTTAGGAGGGCAGAAGAAAGCATTTGGTTGTTTAATTTTCTGCAGACGTATCGAACCAGACCGCCCAGAAAGATGACCCCTGATCGAAGGGCGGGGACCTCAGGGAGGCCGCGTCTTCACTGTGTTATCAGGGTGAAGGAGTCCTCTTCATCCTCGATGATGAGATCCCTCTCCTCTCCATCCTTCTCCCCCGCCCTCCAGCTCCTCCGTCCTCCCCCCTCCTCCCCCCTCCTGAGGCTCGAGCCGCAGCCGCCGCCGTGCTGCCCCCTTCCGCACACGTGCTCGCTCGCCTTCGTGCACAGGCCCCACGCGTCGCCCGCCGTCGAGCGACGCGCCCAAGGAAGGAGACCAGTTGCGTAGACTGCACGTGGAAGCCGCTTGGATTCCACATGGATCCCACGCCTCTCCCATCCAGGAGGAGAGAGAGCGGCATGGGAGGGGGCCCCAGCGCGGATCTCCAAGAGACCTGCGCGGAGCGCCAAACGTTTACGTTCACATGCCGCCTTTGCCCTTCTTCGATCCACGCGGATCCCGCGCCTCACTCGTCCCACGCCGTGGCAGGAGAGAGGCCCGGGCCTGCCTCCTCCTCCGCCACCCCTGGCGCCTCGAGGCCACCCGCGGCGCCGACCCGCCGAGCCCCGGGGGGCCTTCCTGCCTCTGGGCGCCTCCGATCGCCGTCCGGAGCGCCGCCCTCGTCGCCCTGTCGTGGAGGCTCTGCCGCGGCGCCGTGTGCTGCTGCTCGGGGATCTTCTGACCCGGGTCAATGCAGACCCGGGTGCGTGTCAGGCCTTGCAGAGAATCCTGCAAGATCCTGCAAGATGCTGCACCCCAGCCCGGGTCAGTGCGAGGGATCCCGCCAGATCCTGCAGGATCCTGCACCCAAGCCCGGGCCAATGCGACCCTGGCCCCTGCAGGATTCCGCAAGATCGGGCGCTCCGGCTGACCCCCGTTTGCATCGACCCGCGCCTCAAGGCTCCCGAGCTGCTCCTGCTGCGCCTCTGCCGGGAGTTCCGAGGCCAGGCTTCTGTTGTTCCCGTCGCACTCGAGGGCCACAGCCCAGAGATGGCTCCGGGCACCCAGGAGACGATCGAAGCCATGTTGAACGAGCATCGCCTCCAGCTTCGGTGCTATCTTGGTGCTCGAAGTTCGTTCTGGTGATCAAGGCTACAGCAGGTTGGAGCATCAGACGGCCAGGCGTCCTTGTGCTTCCTCTGCCCCCGCTAGAGCTGCCAGTCTCGCCCGCAGCCCGGCCCAGGTGTCGGCTACACGCAAGAGTGGCCCTGGGTAAGAGTGACCTTTGGTGCGCGGCTTTTCGGGGGCCGCGGGGGACCAAACCTGGGCGCGCAAGCCGCTGCTCCTGCTTCGTTTTCAGCCACTCTGGCGAACGGTCACTCCTACGTCTAGTCGAAGGTGGCGTGGCAGTGGTTGCAGGCGGCCAAGGTCTCTCGACTGAGCAGCTCTCGCTTCTTCTGGTTTCACCTCCTGCTGGTGTGTTCGGAGCTGCATCTTCAGATTGCTCGATCAGGGCCAGCAGCATCGACTCCGAAGGCTGCACGGCCAAAATCTCTCGAGCAGAGAGCTCACCCAGTGCACTTCGTCACAATCGTTCGAGCCGCTTGCCTTCGGATCCTGACAAAGCTGGCATTGCCCGCGCGGATCAGAGCTCTGCCATAGGTAACGCTTTCCTGCTTGTCTCTACGGGACGCCCTCTTAAAACTTCGCCAGCTAGCCACCGCTCTTCTCGAGACGATGTTGACAGGCGTCGCGCTCTGAATACCATGTCGGCAGGCTGCTCCGACAGCAGATATGCTAGTTTTGACGGTAAGCTTCGCCTGTACTTTGATGATCGGTCTCTCTCTCTGCTCCGTTCCCAACCTGCCGCCCCGAATCGCGCTCCAGATCCCCTCGATCTCTGAGCGGAACCGAGATTAGTCCATTTAAAGCTGGTGCAGCTGCCATGGAGAAAGATCAGCTAGACACGCAGGCTGTTTTGTCTAGTGGCTATGCCGATGCACCGGACCGCTGGGTCTTTCAATCAAGGAACACAAGGTCTCCTCCGCGTTAGAAGGTGGCCCCTTTCTGTCTGACGAGCATGTTGCCAATGTTAAGGCCCACCAGGACCTGAAGGACGGAGACCCCGACGCCTATCTCCAGGGCAGATGGGCCGATATCTCTCACGCGAACGCTGTACATTCCGGCGCGTCGCCAGAGCATGAAAGGCCTCCTCCCTCTGCCCAAGCGCATTGCTTCCCAGGCCCCAGCCCTGCTAGCACCGCGGAATGAAGGGGAGCGTTAAACTCTGTGCAGCCCCTGCGTTCAAAAACGAGGACTTTGCCCGTCACGCGCCGAAGCAAAGGGTGGCTCCATAGTGTCCGTTGCGTTCCTCTGGGGCCACCCATATGCCATTTTTGTTGCGGTCTCACTGGTCGCGGGCGCAGTGCCAAGATATGCAAGGCTGATAAAAAAAAGGTTCAGACGCCGTGCTTGTTGCATCGAGGGCTTTTCGCCAGATGAGAAGGATGCCCTGCTCTCATGGCTCGCCCGCGAAACCCAAAAGTTCTCAGACATCTTTCCAGAGTCCGCCAGCCTAGCCCGTTGACCATTGGTGCGTCGTGCAAGTCTGCGTCGCACGTTTGACGCTTAGTTTTGGCCCCCTTACCTACAGGGGTAATCAATGCAGCTAGTAGATCAATTCAAATTCTCTGCTCGTTGACTTACCTCTCTTGATGCCCATCCAGCGCTAATCGCTTTGACCTTGTTGCTTTGATGGTTGCGGCCCTCAGTCAGTATTTGTCGGAGCCTCTATTTACCCAGGCAGTGCCATCGTGAGCATTCGGCAGTGCACTTGTCTCTTACAGTACTTGCCCAGCGTTTACTCCACTCAGGTCTTCCGCTGTGCGCTTGCGACGTTCGCAGGTAAGTTCCCAGGTTATGGGTCGCCCCCAATCGCACTCCTTTTCTGCCGCCCAGCCTCTCCCTTCTTTGCCATTCCCGGGCGTTCCCAAGTGTGGCCTTCAGGGCCTTGTCGCGAACGATACCGATACCGTTCGTGCATGTTGAGTTGGCTGAGCACTATCATCAGCCCAGCGGGCCGCTCCGCCTCGTCTCGCGCGCCACTTCATCGACCTGCGTTCGGGCTAGATGTTCATCCGCAGGTGCCTGGCTGTCCGTTCTCGCATGTACTTTATCAACATTCGCTCCGCTCAGGTCTCTTGCGGTTCGCCTGCGTCGGTCACGGGTTCGGCTCCCTCGGCGTGGGTCGACCCCAGTCGCACTCCGCTTCTGAGAGGTCCTCCCTCCCTCCCTCCCTCCCTCCCTCCTCCTCCTCTTGCCCCGCCAGGGCTCAACTACGAACCAACAGCCCTGGCGCATCCGGGGTGAACTCTCAGCGAGCCCAAAACACGCCGCTGCGCGGCGCGCGCGAGTGTACTCTCGACATCGGTGGCGTGCGGGAAGGCCAGAAGGGGGGAGCGAGAGGAGTCTCTGGCCCCTCCACGCCCCCAGGTCTGGCCGAAATCGGCGCGTTCCCCGGAGTTGCCTGCTCCTGCGAATGGGAAGGAAGGATCAGCGGTTCCCGCCAGCGCCAGCGCCCTCCCTCCCTCCGGTTGGAAGCGGGAAAACGTGAGAAGGCGAAACACATTAGAAAAACCACTGGAAATCAACGATGTTAATGCGGGATGACGATTAATACAAAAATGGGAGAGAACGATTTAAACATAGTTTTCTGTTTTTTCTGCACAGCTTTCTGACTGGAGGAGAACGGTAAAAAATAGCTTTCCAGCCCGCGGCCGGCTTTTTCTAATCGTCACCCCGGGCACCGCCGCGTGAACACGACCCCCCGTCATTTATTAATCGTCATCCTCCATTGCCCTCTTCGGGCTCTCTCGGGACGGCTCCCGAGCCCGAGGGATGCGTCCTCCTCCTCGGCCTCCGGCGAGGCGGGGGGCGAGATGCGGATCGGGTGGTGGTCGCTGCCGCCCTGGAAGACCACGCTGCCGTCCCCGCCGACCTGTATCGTGCGGTTGGTGGGCGAGAGGTACTGCCCCTGCAGCCGCCGCAGCTGCTTCCCGCCCGCGTCGCACGATGCCTCGCCGGCACGGGCGGGGCCAGGGCCAGCGAGGCCGGAGGATCGCGCCGCCTCGGCGAGGCGTCGGCGATGCCTCGGCGACGTCGGCATGGGGCCACTGCCAGAGAGAGAGGACGGTATGGAGCATATAAACTGTTGGACCTCCACGCGGATTTCGGGGAGCGGCGCGGGGCACCCCCTCTCCCTGGCGCGGGGGAGAGCGCCAAGGGGGCGGCGCGCCGGAGGCGCCGCCGGGGGTGGCCCAGCGCCGATCCAAGAACTCCGCGCGGAGCTCCAAAAGTTTATGATGGTTATGCCGGAGGCGGAGCCAGAGGAGGCGGAGGAGGCGGAGGAGGAGGAGGAGGAGGAGGAGGAGGAGGAGGAGGAGGAGGAGGGAGGAGGAGGGAGGAGGAGGAGGAGGAGGACGACGACGAGGAGGAGGAGGAGGAGGAGGAGGAGGGAGGAGGAGGGAGGAGGAGCAGGAAAAATCGGGCTCTGGATCGCGCCGCATCGCCGATGCGTCGGCCATATGCAGACCCGTGCGTGCACGGCCAGGGGCATATCGCTTCGCCAACGCCGCCAGGCGCGCCCCCCACGCCCCACGACCGCTGACAGTTGCGTGGGCCGCGCGGGCTGGGCTTGTCAACATCAGATGCGCTCCCCACGCCCCACGACCGCTAGCAGTTCCGTGGGCCGCTCGGGCTGGGCTTGTCAACATCAGACGCGCTCCCCACGCCCCACGACGACCGCTCACACTTCCGTGGGCCGCTCGGGCTAGGCCTGTCGAGGCAGTGGGGGGGGGGGCTCCCGGGTTGCCCCTGCTAGACTCGGGTCGGGCGAAAGGGGGGGATAGCGTAGGGGGGGATTGAGAATCAGCTCGCGTAGCCGATTTTCCCGGCGCCTCCCGGCGCCGGAGGCGCCCATGTATCGAGGAATGGGCCCCTCGGTGGGGCCGGAACCAGCTGCATGCAGCAAATTTCGCAACCCCCCCTTTCCCAATCCCCCCCCTTTCGTCCGGCCCTTGCTAGACGCGCCAAAGCTCCTGCCTCGACTCGGCGCACAGCGAACGGAAGCTCGAAACGGTCACGCTCCTGTTCACTTTCGGAGCTCCGCGCGGATCTCTTTGAAGGGGCCCTGGGACACACAAATAAAGACACACAAAGAAAGAGATTCCACATATTTTCCCATCTTTTCTGGGTTTCTGTCTTCCCCCCCACTGCCCATATTTTCCCATATATTCCTGGGGATCGACGATTAATTGTGTCTGTGTGTTTCTTCCCCTCCTGAATCTTGGATCGACGCTGGGCCACCCACTGGCGGCGCCTCCAGCGCGCGGACCCTGGCACGCTCGGGGGTCGCCAGGGAAGAGGGGGGCCCCCAGCGCCGACCAAGGAGAGATCCGCACGGAACTCCGCAAAAGTGTGCACTTATATGCCGTGTCTTGCTTCTCGGCCGTCTGCACTTCGCCTACCTGGTCTTCCTCTACCTCACGGGCGTCGACCTGGCCACGGCCCTCCCCACGCAGCACTCGAGGATGGTGATTCTGGCGCGCCGTTGCCGGCAACAGCACTTCGCTCTCCCCCCGGGGCTTCGCCCCCGGCTCCTGTCCAAGGCGTATACCTTTTCCTGTGCAAGCTCTTCGGCACCGCCTGCACCCCGCACCCTCCAGCCGCCTGAGGCCCCGCCCGCCCGCGCCCTGTCTCCCCAATTAGTGCTTTGCGCGCCCGGCCTAGCTCTTAAGCGGAAGAGGCCCGCTGTCTCGACCCGCAGACCCCCCCCCAAAAAGTTTCTCGGCCGTCATCCCCTCTTGGACGCCCCGACCCTCCACGTGCGTTCGCTTACGGCTTTAGATCTCCCCCCGGCCTCAGCCGGCTCGCTCGGAAAATCGGCACCCTTGCCGCCACGGCAGAACGAGCAGCTGGCCATCGAGTCCAAGAACTTGGAGTCAAGCTCAGCCTTCAGGCGGTTCACCTCTGCTTGGAGGGCCTGCAGATCTCGGTCAGCACGCAGTGCACCAGCCTTGATGATGTCGGCAACAGCACGAGTGTGTATCTTCTTGACCGATTGCGCGAAACGCAGTGTGGACAACGACTCCTCGGCACACGAACTGGCTGGAGTTAGAGCGACCAAGACCTGTGTACGTGCATTCCCAGACAGAGAGTCTTTGAGTAAGAATGTCAACTTTGAGTCTCGGAAGGGGACAGAACAATGGTTTCGGCCCTGCGCAATCTCAGACAATCGGGATATCACAAGACCGAGCGCAGACAGCGAGACGTTGATGTGTATCCCCTCCTTCATCCGAGCGCCCTCGCTGCGTGCACGTCGCTGTCGCTCGGAGCCAGCCAAATCGATTACGTGGACCTTGGCGCGCGTCGTGCACTCGTTGCTTGTCCGCTGAACTCGCAGCTGGACGAGCATGTGTGACCTTGAACTGTGGGTGTTCACGCGGGTCTCGCCGACGGAGCGCCGGCTGGTTGCCAGGTCGAGAAGGGACGAGAAGCTGTCGCGGCCCTGGACCTCAGGAAGGAGGAGTCCAAGGGGAAGGGGAAGGAGGAGAGAACTTGTCGGCTCTCTGCGACTTCCCCCCTCGAAATCAAACGCAAGTTTCTCCTGCGACGTGGCGGCACCCCAGGACCACAAAGTCTTAGCGCTCGCGCCGAACTTGGCGACTGCAGACGCAGAGATCTGACCCCGTGGGCCGCCGTTTCGCGCGTCGGCCAACACCAACAGAACTTGCGCTTGACGTCGGAGAGGGCTGCAGCAGCCTGGCCACCCCCGGCCCAGATCCCCTCGGGCAATGAACAAATCATAACTCGGCTACACGCAAGAGTGGCCCTGGGTAAGAGTGACCTTTGGTGCGCGGCTTTTCGGAGGCCGCGGGGGGGGCAACCACAAACGCGCAAGACGCTACGATCGCATCGCGTTCGGCGATCGGGGGGCCCCCTTGGGCCCACACCAAAAGGTCACTCCGGCGCAAGGTCACTCCTACGTCTAGTCGACTAAAGGGAGGTCTTTCCATGCTCTCGGCCTCTGGAAGCCCCTGCCGACCCTGTGGACCGTCGACAGAAAAACGGCTCGGGATGAGAAACACCAGTCCCAGGGGAGGGGTCGAGACCTCCATAGAGCCGACGCTATGGAAAAATCATGACGTCGGGGGTCTGGGTCCGGAGGGCATGCTTTTGACGACCTGCCAGGCCACCCCAACCCAGCCCGAATGCCCACATTCGGGGATGGACAGACCCCCCTTTAGTAAAACGTGGTTTAGTGAAAACGACCTGAGGCCCAAACCTGGCGGGCGCAAGCCCGGAAAACAACGGCCACGGCGCCCTCTCGAGAACCGACAACGGACAATTCACTGATCGACGTTTCACTGTTGGGGGTTCTGTCCGCCCCCGACACCAGAGTCGACGCTGTGAAAACATCATGACGTCGGGGGTCTGGGTCCGGAGGGCATGCTTTTGACGACCTGCCAGGCCACCCCAACCCAGCCCGAATGCCCACATTCGGGGATGGACAGACCCCCCTTTAGTAAAACGTGGTTTAGTGAAAACGACCTGAGGCCCAAACCTGGCGGGCGCAAGCCCGGAAAACAACGGCCACGGCGCCCTCTCGAGAACCGACAACGGACAATTCACTGATCGACGTTTCACTGTTGGGGGTTCTGCCCACCCCCGACACATATCGGGCTCAGGAGGAAGAGGAGTGTGCCGGTTCCATGTGCGACGGACTCCAGAACCCCTCAAACTAAGGGGAAAACAAACCTACCTCGCTTTTGACCACCCTCGCTTCCAAGATATACCAAACGATGCCAAATTGCAGCCTGTACTGCTTTCGCCGCTTGACGAGGCGGCGCGTGGTATGGCTTGGTTTCGCCTGGAAGCGAAAGCGGGGTAGGTAATTCACGCTCTGAGAAACCCAAAGTGTTATCATCCTTCCGCCGACCCGCCGCCAGCTCTCGCCCGCGGAGGCGGCCACGTTGTACTGCCGCCGCCTTCCGCCGCCCTGCCACCGCCTTCCGCCGAGGAAGAGGTGCCACCTCCTTCGACCCACGAAGGCGAGGCCTCTTGAAAAATCAGCAGAGTACGAATAGTTTTTTGGTTGCAACTCAGGTAGCAGACCGAGTTCGGGCATCTAGATACTTGCGACCAGCGCTCCTGATGTGTTCCTTTCGATTGCTGTGCCAAACAGCTCTGTAGCTCATCTGCAGCTCGAGTTACAGAACGCCCCACGTGGTTCTCATATGCATTGTTCCACGACGCCCCACCCACACCTAGGCAAGGAGGGCAGACTGGGGCCTTGAGGTTGGGGTGGTTTGGCGGGTGGTGCTTGTTCTGCCCGGGCCAGGCCCCCAAAAAACTTTGAGCACACGGCGCTCCGCCACCCTCGCGGCAAAGAGCAGCCTGGAGCACTGCCCCCCCCACACTACAAGAAGAAACAACGGCATACACATAAATATAGTCAGAAGACGACGAAGGAGAGTAATACGAACATCATGCGAACAAATAACAACATAAACTGAACATTGCATGAAGAAGAATAATAACAAATTGCATAAACATAAACTGTTGGCTTTCCGCGCGGATTTCGGATTTCTCGGATCTGCGCCAGACCCCACTACCTGGCGCGCGGAGCGCGCCAGGGGCGCCGCCGGAGGCGCCGCCAGGGAGGCCCAGCGCGGACCCAAGAAACCCGCGCGGAGCGCCAACAGTTCATAGTTATGGCTCTTCTTCTTCTTCTTCGACGCACGCACGCACGCACGCACGCTCCTCGCGACACGCGGGCCCGCCATGGACCCCGGCCGCCCAAGAGTGCTGCCCTCTCGCGTGGGGTCCGCGCGTCCTGCCTCCGCCGCCTCCCCGCCGGCCGGCCGCGGGCTCTTCTCTGCCTGCGGATCGAGCAGCCCTTCTGTTGGCGCTGCCGTCGGCTGTCGCGGGCCCTCAAGCCGAGCATTGAGGAGAGCGAGCGTGCCGAGCCCTCGAGGGGCGAGGCCACCCTCGGAGAACGCGCCCCTGCAAAGAAGGGTGGCCCCCCTCGGGTCTGGAGCCCCAGAGGGGCCAGGAGACCCCTTCCCCAGGACAGGCCATAACTTCCTCCAGCGCAGCGTTCGACATCCCCTGGGCTGGGTTGGGACAAGAGTAGGGGAACAAAAAGTGGCATGAACATAAAAACTCGGAGGTCCGCGCGGATTTCTTGGATCGGCGCTGGGGCCCCCCAGCGGCGCCTCCGGCGCCGCCCCTGGCGCGCTCCGCGCGCCAGGGAGGGGGGTCCAGCGCCGATCCGAGAAATCCTCGTGGATCTCCGAGTTTTTATGTTTATGTCACTGTTTGTTCCCTCAGAGAGGCCAAAGACGAAAGCCGCAGAGGACATGCCTGCGTGCCCTCTCTTCACGATGGGAGCCGAGGCCCGGGTCTGGGACAGGCTCCGCGCGGCACGCGGGCAGAGGGGACCGGCCGAGCAGGGGCCGAGGAGGCGGAGCGCAGGCTGAGAGCAGGGCCGAGGATAGGGGGCCACATGCGAACCCTACCCCTACCCCCCACGATTTCTGAGGGGGAGGGTGAGGTTCACTTCGTTCGGGAGCTTCCGAGCGAAGTGAACCCCACCCTCCCCCTCAGAACTCGTGGGGGGAAGGGGTAGGGTTCGCATGTGGCCCATTAGAGGAGGAGGAAGTAGCAGGCCCAGTCCTCCTCCCACGCCTGGGACTCCCTTGCTGTCGCCCGCAGGCCTCAATTCTATGCCCGCGAGGGCACCTCTGCTTTCCTGCATTTTCTTCGCACCGCTTCTCCCCGCTCAGCCTGCCAAGGCGATCCAAAGAGGGTGTTTTGATGCCAACCACAATATTTCTGCACCAGCTTCAGGACGCAACGGCCATCCAACCAATGTCGGTACCACTACTGTAACACGGCTCAGACCTCCTCTGGGTGGCAACGATAGGGGGGGGGACTGGCATACGGGGGGACGCGTCGACCTGGAATCGGCGATACATCGCCGATAGATCGGCGACAGGCCCCCGATAGTGAATCCGCACCTTCCTGGGCGGGTTGGGGCGATCAGACCCCTATCGGCGACCAGTTGGCGAGTGGGGGGGCGAGCCTATCCCCCCCCATCGTTGGCCCTGATCCCCCCCCTCCTTACCCTACAAGATCCGCGCGACAAGTGGACACCCGGGCTGCCGATGGGGGCCGAGGCTAGCCGCCACCGCCCCCGTGGACCTCGGCCTCCAGCAGGCCCGGCACGACGACGCCCTCCTGGGAAGGCCGAGGGAGGACGCGACCACGCCGGAGGGCAGGGAGGTCAAGCAGGAGGAGGAGGAGGAGGAGGAGGAGGAGGAGAATGAAGAGATCAAGGAAGACGAGGAGGAGGAGGAGGAGGAGGAGGAGGAGGAGGAGACGGAGGAGAAGGAGGAGAATGAAGAGATCAAGGAAGACGAGGAGGGGGCGGAGGAGACGGAGGAGGAGGAGGAGGAGGAGGAGGAGGAGGAGGAGGAGACGGAGGAGGAGGAGGGGGAGGAGGAGAAGGAGGAGGTTCAGGAGGTGGAGCGAAGCCAGGGCGGACGCGAGTCGTGGCGACGCCGCGGGCAACTCCCGGATCGAAGACGCCTGCTGAAGCTCAGGAGGGCGGGTCTTGGGCGCCACACGCGCCAAGGGAGGCCTCTCTGGCGAGGAGGTCAGTGAAGGGGCCCTGGGACACACAAATAAATACACACAAATAAAAGGATTCCCCATATTTTCCTATACTTTCTGGGTTTCTGTCTTCCCCCCACTTCCCATATTTTCCAATATTTTCTGAGGAATCGACGATTAATTGTGTCTGTGTGTTTTTTCCCCTCCTCAAGGGGGGCAGAGCACCAGGGAGGAGCACCAGAAGCGGCAGAACCCGGGGGGGGGCAGGACCGTAAGGGCTCTTGCAGGCTGCCGGTGGCCCCGCCTCCTCCCACACCTCCCCTGACCTTCCAGAGAGCTATCTTTTGGCACCGGAGACCTGAAAGCCTAAAAAAGCGGAGCGAAACAGGCTAAAACCAAGACGTAGAGTAGCTTTGGGATAGGTTTTTCAGTCGGGTGCTATTGTTTAGCCCTCCTGGAAGGTCAGGGTCAGTGCCCCCCAAACCAGGGCTTGGAGAGCTCCGGCCGGAGAGAACGAAGACTGGAGCACGCATCGACCCAAGAGTGCATTCTTCTCGGGCGCGCCGACGCCCTGGCTCATCACACAGAGTGGCAACAACTGCCCAAAGACAAGCTCTTGGAGGCCCGCACAGATTTATTTGAAGGGGCCTTGGGACCCACACAACTATAAATGCACACAAATAAAAGAAATGCCCGATCTGTTCTTACAGTTTCTGGGTTTTCGTCTTCCCCCCCACTCCCCATAGTTTCCCGTCTTTTCTGGGGAATCGACGATCAATTGTGTCTGTGTGTCTCTTTCCCTCCTGATCATGAGATTGGCGCCGGGTCTCCCGTCCCTGGCGCGCTGGAGGCGCCGCCAAGGAGGAGCGGCGCCAGAGGAGCGGCGCCGCCAGGGGGGGGGCCCCAGGGCCGATCCGAGGCCTCCGCGCGGACCTCTCCGCAGCTGCTTCTGCCTCTTTTTTTGTTGGGCAGGGAGCACACGCGCACGCACAGGGTGTGTACGCGCGGGATACAAAGGCTCGCGCAGGGCGTACTTGTGAAACCAGCGTGGATTTTATGTAACCGTGTGCCGGTCACAAACACACACACACACAGGTGGTACACATGTTTTTTTTCTGTAGGGACCGCACACACAAGCTGTACGCACGTGGTGCGGAGGCTCGCGCAAGGCGTACTTCTGGAACCAGCGTGGATTTGTTTTATGTGACCGTGTGCTGGTCAGAACAACTCCCTGGGGATAAGAAAGGTTCGAGGTCCAGGCGGGATAATCAAGTTTCCTGGGGATGTCGATGGTCGGATGCCTGGATCGCGTTTCGCCTGAGGCATCGTCACACTCACAGCTACGACAGGAACGCTGGAGGGGATGGTCAAGTTCGGCCTCCCCGCTTGCTGTTTCAATTGAAGTGCGTTCGATCCCGTGGATGAAGAGATACAAGGAGGAACGGGGGATGCTGCATAGGATCCGGGCGTTGCGCTTACTCTTTCGCTCCTGGGAGGGAGGGAGGGAGGGAGGGAGGGAGGGAGGGAGGAGGAGGAGGAGGAGGAGGAGGAGGGAGGATGAAGGAGGAGGAAGGAGGAGAGAGGAGGAGGAGGAGGGCGGAGGAGGAGGGAGGAGGAGGAGGAGGGAGAGGAGGAGGAGGAGGAGGGAGGGGAGGAGCAGGGGAGGGAGGGCCCTCCGATCGAAATCCCCGCCCAAGGGGGCCCGACCCCCGCCGCCGCCGGCCTCCAGGCACCCCGCGCGGGGGCCGCCCGGCGCCTCCGCCGCGTGCCCCCGGCCGTGCCCGTCCGGTGCCTGTTTTTCTTTGGATTCGGGCAAGTTTACTTGCATGGACGGGGGGGGGGAGGGGGGGGGAGTCTGAAGCAAGCCGAAACCAATTCGACGTGCGGAACTCACGCAGGTCGAAAGGCACTTGCACGCTCGTGTTGGGGCGAGGGGGGAGAGGGGGGGGGGGGGGGCGAACGCCGTGCAGGTAAGCATGCCTGGATCTCAAGCAAAACAGGCTCCGGTGCCGCGCCCGGGGGCTCCTCCCGGCTCTCGAAGAGCCGCAGGCGGTCGCGCGAGTCCGACAGGAGGTCCACCTCTCTCGGGCCATCACTGGGGCTCAGTCGTGCCTGTCCCCATACAAAGGGAGAGTTTTGGACAAAAAACAAAACACACCCCCAAAGAGTGCCCCCAAGTGGTCGAAACAAAATCAAAACATCGTCCCCATACTATGTTTGGACTATTTTGAACGAAAAATAAAACACACACCCAAAGAATGCCCCCAAGTGGTCGAGTGGTCGAAACAGAATGAAAACATCGTCCCCAGGCTATTTGGTTGACTAGTTTTGAATATTCCCCCTGTGGAGGGACGGGCCCGACTTCACACTAGGGGGCCACATGCGAACCCTACCCCCTACCCCCCTACGATTTCTGAGGGGGAGGGTGGGGTTCACTTCGCTCCATGGGCACGAGGGGGAGGGCTCCGTGGGAGGCGGGTCCTCGTCCCCCCGGGGGCAGGGCGCCAGGACCCCGGGACCCCGAGAACGGCGGAGAATGGGGGGGCCCTGGGACACACACATAAGTAAACACAAATAAAAGGATTCCCAATATTTTCCCATCTTTTCCGGGTTTTGGTATTCCCCCCCCACACTTCCCATATTTTACCATATTTTCTTGGGAACCGACGATTAATTGTGTCTGTGTATTTTCCCCTCCCGAGAGAAGCTGTGACCCAGAGTCGCTTTGTTGACGGCCCCGAGGCCTGGCGAGGGCCCCCCCCAGAGGCCGAAGTCGCCCAACAGAACGCCCGCCCCGATCTTTGCTGGAGCGTCGGACCTCTGTGGGCCTCCAGGACACCCCTGCTTCACGTGGCCGACTCCAGCTCATCATTTGGCGGCGCGCAAAAGGGGGTAGGGGGAGGGGGGAAGGCTTCTTAGAAGCACCCCGCTTCTTAGAAGGCCTCGGCCTTACGTCTATAGAGAAGGCCCGCGCCTTCTAAGAAGCAGGGGTGCTTCTAAGAAGCCCTCCCCCCTTCCCCCCACCCCCCTCTGCGCGTGGCTGAATCATTCTGACGTCTTGGATCCGATCATGCTGACGTCTCGCCTCTGCTTCCGCTGGCCTGCCGCCGGGCGGGGCCCGCCGCCGTTCCGCCCTCCGCCGCCCTCCGCCGACGGCGACACTCGCCCTCGCCATCGCTCGGACGTCCATTCCCTGTGGTTTTTTCGGCTTCGTGCGTGGCCTTTTCGCCAGATGATCCAGGGTGCTCCTCGCTGGCCCTCGCCGACGGAAAAAAAATCACACGTCCGAGCGATGCCAAAAGCGCCGAGCGCGAGCCACTTTTCTGCAATATTCGCCCTGCGCGGCGAGCCCGCCAGGTTCTCGTTGTAGAGCTCCAGGAAGGCGGCGTGGATGCGCACCTCTCGGGCGCGCGCGCTCTGCGCCAAGTCGGCGCACAAGACCGGAGGAGGAGGAGGAGGAGGAGGAGGAGGAGGAGGAGGAGGAGGAGGAGGAGGAGAGGAGGAGGAGGAGGAGGAGGAGGAGGAGGAGGAGGAGGAGGAAGGCGGCGTGGATGCGCACCTCTCGCGGGCGCGCGCGCGCGCCGCGTAGGTCGGCCCGCACGAAAGACCGGGTCGGCCAAGGGGCCCTCTGTCGCGAAGCCCGGCCGGCCGCTCGGCAGCTCCCAATAATTGCCCGGGGTCGGCGGAGGGCGGGCAGGGGGGAATCGCCCGTCCCCGGGCGGAGGAGGAGGAGGAGGAGGAGGAGGAGGAGGAGGAGGAGGAGGAGGGCGAGGGGGGAGGAGAGGAGGAGGAGGAGGAGGAGGAGAGGAGGAGGAGGAGGAGGAGGGAGGGAGGAGGAGGGCGAGGGAGGAGGAGGAGGAGGAGGAGGAGGCGGAGGAGGAGGGAGGAGGAGGAGGAGGACGAGGAGGGCGAGGGGGAGGAGGAGGAGGAGGAGGAGGAGGAGGAGGAGGAGGAGGAGGAGGAGGAGGAGGAGGAGGATGAGGATGAGGATGAGGAGGAGGAGGAGGAGGAGACTCCAGACGGCACGAGTGGTTCACGGCGTGGTCTTGACCCATCCTCCGGGACCGGCTCTTCCTCCCGGGTCCTCCCTGGACGGCCCCAAGACCTGCCGAGGGCACCTGGAGGCCAACGACGTCCAGAAACCTCCCCGTCGGGATCCCCGAGCCTCGTCGGTGAGCCCCGCTACGTTTGGGTCGGGCATGTCCCCCTACAGGCGGATTTTGGGCGAAAAATGGAGAATACCCGAAACAGATTCAAACAGACTCCCAAAAACGCCAAACAAAAACTTCCCCCGACTACTTGTTTGTCTATTTTCGAACCTGCCTCCTGTAGAGGGGGACAGGCCCGACAGAACGCTACGTGAGTCCCGAGCCTCGTCGGTGCCGTCCGTCCTGCCAGCCTCGCGCTGAGCCTCCAGCAGCTCGTCGGCCAGGAGCGGGAGCACGCCTGGAGCCTCCGGGCCGCCAAGCAGGGAGAAGGTCTTGCCGCTGCCGCTGATGCCGTAGGCGAAGAGGCAGCCGCTGACGCCGAGGGGGCGGGAAGGCCAGGCGCAAGGTCTTCTGCCGCGTTGCAGCGCTCCCGGCTTCTCGGGCGTGGAGCTCCATTCACATACAGGGCATTTTTTTGAACATGGGATCTTTTAACAGCTGATTTTAATACATGATCGATGCATGAATGAATTTATGCATGAACTCATCGTTGCT